ATATAATCATATATAAAAAATATCTGAAATTTCATATATAATCAGATCTAGTCACATATGATTATGTAAAGAAAATATCATATTGCGGGTAAAAAATTGTCAAATTCCGGATATTATTATTATATGTATATGACCAGATCATATCGTGACAAATTTCAGTATATGTTTTTCTCTTAAATCCAATTTTTCTATAAAATACATTTATATTTACATTTATATTTATCCTATATTTGCATATTGTAATTTTATATTTGTCGTATTAAAGGTATCTTTACAATCTATCGCGATAATACATCACTAGCTGAAACAAGGATTGCTTAAAAATGCGTAGATTACTCTAATCTGCTTTTGCACTAATCATAAATAATACAAGAATACTATAAGTTTACGTTTTATTACATTTAAAATTGCAACTGCTATTAATGGTATCTATTACTAAAGATTTATATGTAATATGTGTATCTTCCATTTTAATTCAATATAATATTTCAATATAATATTCAATATAATTTCAATATAATATTATCCCACCGATGTAGTATTATTTAGATTCCTCTCCTTCATGAGCTTGAGTACTCTCTTGTACACGAGTCTGGGCGCATCTTTAGCCCATGTAAAATCTGAGTGACTAAATTTGGGCCACGGCACTTCGTACATGTCCACTACTTTGGGCAATAGGCGGTAGAGCTTCTTCACATCCTTAAAAAAATATTTATTTTTTTGGGAAATTTTCCCTTTTTTTTTTTTTTTTTTTTTTTTTTTTTTTTTTTTTTTTTTTTACACACGCAAATCGCGCACATCTCTGTGAAACTGGATGGAACGCGATCGAGGATCGCGCCGATGGCTCGTTCTAGATCCCGCGACTCGTACGGCACGTCCGAGAGCGTGACCTATGACGAATACGCACTACGTCCGTCGATTGGATGAATTAAAAGAATGGGGAAAATTGTCAACGATGAAGAAATTTGTTTGTGCTTTACAGAAGCTGGGGGTTAAGTTCATTACTACGGAAAAATATCTTAATGACCGCGGAATAACGACGATTGCTTCAATGTCGAGGAGGGAATGGTCTTTTTCCCCGAACGGATCTGGGAATCGGAAGGGTTCTATTTAGACGAATTAAAAGCTCTTCGGAAAACTTGAGCGTGCGAATAACAATAAAATTTAATCGAGAGAAATTTTGATTCGACTTGTTTCGTCGTGATATTTACATCGAAAAATAACATGTTGTATGATATACGACAGACTTTTTGTCCAATTTTCAATTTTGATAGAAAATGTGCTACTAGATTCGTTACAAATTTTATCATTGAAATATTTATAGTTAGTAAGGATATAGGGGATGAACCGTTTTATCTTTATTTTATATCATTATCATATTATACGGAAATTTACCACAAACACACCAAAACTTTCTATACTATAAAAAAACAGGTGGATTTTCCTATTTGAATTTTATTTTTTTATTTTTTTATTTGAATATCCCTTAAAAAATATTTATCGTATATTTTTCTATTCCAGATACTGATCTGCGTTCAGATCAGTATCTGGAATAGCTAGCTGACAGCTTCCAAAATAATATTACATCAGACAGATTTAAAAAGGAAAGCGCTCGTTTCAGACGCAGATGTTTCAATCTTCTTTTTCTCCCTGGTGCATTAATCTATTTCCGAAATTTCCAAAAGAATAAAGTTGCGTGACGTTGCACAGTTATACATATATTCACTAAGCAATAATTAAAGAATGAAAGACATATCATAACAAGTCTATCCTAAAACGTTTCTGTTGAATAGCATAATCACGATTGCGAGTTTAATAGTATCAAAATCAATCGATTATTATTTATTTGCGTGTGACACGCATTAAATTACATATAAAGCGCGTATGAAACAATTCCGAAACCTTTGAAATTCACGATGTAAAGGATTTTAATAATCGTATACGTGAGAAAAGAGTGAATAAAAAAAGATAAGAGTTTTTTTCCCTTCGCCTCATCTGATCTCTCGGATCAAGAAATCCAGCGAAAAGATTGACGACATACCGCGCTAGTGGCGCCTTGAGAGGAAATACCTTGTTTTCCCCGCCATTGAGACACGTGCTCCACGCGCGTGCACCCACGAGATCTATCGATCTCGTTAAATGCGAAGAATCAAACGGACAGAAAGATCGCGCAGTTAGAGCCGTCTTATTACACATACATTCCTTGTTGTTATTATTATTATAACGTCTAAGTTCCCTCTCTTCCTCTCCTTTTCTCTCTCTCTCTCTCTCTCTCTTTTTCTTTCTCTCTCGATATTGGTCTCGGTCTCGCATTCTCTCTCTCTCTCTCTCTCTCTCCTCGTTTCCCTGCCTAAATCTTTCTTCCCTCCTCCCCTCCCCCTCCCCTCCTTTCCGTCGGCGAGTGATACTCTGGCACAGCGGCTAGCCCAGCCTATATAAACCTCCGGCGACTCGAAAGCGTCCTCACTCTATACGAGAAGACAGTCTATGTATAAAGTCTCGTGGCTCATACACGAAGAATTAACACGCGCGATATAACTCGGTCAGTTGAAAGAGAGAGAGAGAGAGAGGACGACGCTCGTGTATTATGGTACATCTCGAGTAAAAGAGGGAAAGCGACACTCCATCGACTATTTTTGCGATAGGCGCGAAACAACCCCGCGAGCGAACCCTATTGTCGGCGCCTCCTTGAACGAAGCGCTCCGTTTTCGCGCCTCGCCGCGCTCTACTCTCAACAGTGTCACGAGATATATAATCCTGCGCGAAGGATCTCTCGCCGCATCCGCGAGGGGAGAAGGATAAACGCGAGTCCGCGGAAAGAGACAGAAGCGATACCGAAGGAAGTAAGGGAGAGGAAGCTTCGAGAGGGAGAGATCCATCGTTCATCATCCGGTATCTCCACATACGCGAGTGGAAATGTTGAACTCGTGTACAAGCTGGCACGTGAGGCTAATCGTCATCGTCATGCTCGTGGTTACCATATACTACCCGGTTTTGATTGACACGGCGGTGGTCCGTTCCGAGGTAAGATTCAATCGAATGTAAAAATAAGAGAAAGAAAAAATCATGGGATTCGAACTAGAAACGCGTAGTAAAAAAGAGAGAGAGAGAGAGAGAGAGAGAGAGACGGGGGGGAGAGAGAAAGAAGATTCTAGCAAAAAGATGATCCGAAGCCGTTAGAGCGGAAGTCGTTTTGTGGTCACAGTTTGCGTGTCTCTATGAATGACGTATTTCGCGGAACAGATATAGAAAGAAAACGTAGATCGTTCTTTCTTGGAAAAATGTAGATTGTAATTCTAGAATATGCTCTTAAAGTTCGGCCATCAATTTCTCTCCGAAACGCTCTATATAATTATATAACTCATTTACAACTGTTGAATAAGGTTTCAGCTTTTCATTTGCAACAGAATAAGAAAAATTAATATGTAAATCCCGTTGATGATGTACGTATAAATCGCGACACATGTATCTCGCACATACGAGGTATCCAATGTGAATAGATTACGGTTCTTTTTTTTCTTTTTACTCCATTCCTCGAGAGATTTCGCGCTTATCGCGCATCGAGTAAGCTGAATCGATTTAAATCGCTACGATTGTAGGATACTTATTAGACGTGTTATGACGTATATTCAAGAGTACGAGGTCCTTCGGTCATTTATCGAATCGTCGCGCTGGCGTGCTAGCAGCTCGAGTAGCTTCATTCATGAATCCGACCCTCACTCGAGAGTTTCGGGCCTTTCAAGAATACTAGATAAACGTGAATTTTTTTTCCATTTGTCATGCGAAAACTACTCGTTCGCCATTCGATGCAAATTAAACCCCATATATCAATTATTAATATCTTTATAGATCGCGATTGAGAGAATAAAAAATATTGGAAGTCACTTAATTGTAAGGAATATAATTTACTTTCTGCGAATTTCATCGCGTAACTCATTTGTCAAAGTGCGCGATTGAATCGACGCGAATAATATTTTCCCTCTCTCAGAGGGATATCTCTTTTATAAAGAGATATTCGATTCTCGTTTCAATACGCGACGCGCGCGTACAGAAACATATTTGTATAAGCATTTTTGTTTTCATTTATAGACTGATTCGAAATGACATAAAGGAAAGATTTTAAGATATATATATATATA